CCCCCCCCCCCCCCCCCCCCCCCCCAGATTGTTTTACTTAGTCTAGAGGTACGAAGCATTTTGATTGGTCTATCTGCGTCGGAGACGTCTCCAGATAGATACTGTGCTTTGGCTAAGACGTAAACTCAAACTTGGTTGCCGTCTGCAATGTACATTGGCGTATTATGGCTGAATAGTAAGCTTACATTACTGTCTGATACCAAATTCTCAACAGAAAGAAAGGCTAGTCTTAATAAAATTAGCCCAATCCTGAGAAATAGAAACATCTCAATGACTACCAAAATGAAAGTTCTGCAATGCCTTGTATGGTCAACCCTTCTATATGGCTGTGAATGCTGGACAATCTCTAAAGACCTTGAAAATGAAAATAGAAGCAACAAAATGAGGGTTTTTTTTAGACTGCCTAGAGTATCGTGGAAGGAAAAGAAATCAAGTTAGGTAGTGCTCGATGAAGCCCACGTGGGACGCTATCTGTTAAAAACAATCAGGAAACGACATATGCAGCTTTTGGGACACCTGAATTGACATAAGGGTCTTGAACATCTCGCAGTCACTGGCAAAATTGAAAGCAAACGAGGCACGGTAGGCCCAGAGCAACCTACTTAGGGAACCTAGACAAATGGGTAACGGGGAAAGATCAGGGAGACGTAGTTATTTACGAGCTTTCGAGCAAAGGAATAAATGGAGAACCGTGATCGCTGATATCTGTCGTAGATCTGGCACTGGATGATGATGAGTACATTACGTTCTAACCAAGAGCTGAAGCTTGTTTGGTAAAATGTTGAAAAAATAATGCGGTAGTTTTGTTTATTCACTACTCCGTTGTTGCTTGTTACGTTGGTTCTTTCGGGTTCTTTCTCCTTTGTTTGCCTGTCTGTTTGTTTGTTTGTTGTTTGGGGAGGTCTCAATGAATTTGACACCCGTTTAGAGACGGACACCCACGCCTAGATTGTAATAATTAGAGACTTTAGTTTGTAAAAAAAAGACATGAGGTCCTTCCTTTTGTGGGGAAGCTACATTTTTTACTTGTGACTTCGTTGGACTTGAAGTACAGATACCACTCGGGGCGGTGCTGCTGACTGATGTGTCTTTAGGTCATTCCCAAAGGGGGGCCATTAATATGTACTTATGCACAGTAGAATGGGCTGATTCATCAATGTCATGCTCATAACTGTGCCTGAACTGCAACAGGGAACTGCTGCTTTTTCTGTCCTTATCCTTACTATTCTCATTTTCCTCTACTTCTTTTGTATGTTTGTCATACTTTTGCGAACCGCTTTTTCCGGGGTGCCTTGATAATTGAAACAGATGTTGTGCTGTTGAAGCTAGAGAGGGGAGCAGAGTAAGCCTGATTCCCCGTTTCGACTTCTCTGTTGACATCCACTCCTTGGCATTCATATTATGACCTTATGCAGTTGCGAGCGCCGCAAAACCTCTACTACGTCAAATAAGTGAAAGTCAAGAAAATATCACAATACAACAGCAAGACATTTTAAAACTGTAACCAGCAAACACTGTTTTTGTTCCGTCGTTTTTTCACAACACACAAATCTAACTAATGCATTTATTGTCTGATTTAGCTGGCGACTTGTATTTGAAAAGGCGTGCAAGATAAGATAGAGAGAAATCTATTATCTATTTGTGGTGGCCGAATTTTGCTATTCAAAAGGCTTTTTAATGGCTGCATCGATCGACATACGGTTTTCGTCAAA